AGTTATCTAGCTAGATTTATTCACCTAGGTATAATTTAGCAACATAGCTCTTGTGTGACATACTAGAGATCATACAAATTAGAATTGGGTAGGTGGCTTACAACCCCAAGTGTAGTGCTAGCACAAAATTCACTTCGCCATCTTATTGACTAATTAGTTGTCTTAGTGTTGTTGTAGAAATTTTTAATAGGCTATTCACCCCCTCTAGCCATTAGGACCTTTCTCTCGGTGATTGAAGAATCGTTGAGCGGAGTTGGTGATTGTCTCCGGCCTCGATCGGTTGCTTGCGAGGGGTCCTGTGTCTTCACCGACAGAGCACTAAAGGCAACTCTAGTAAATTACTCGTGTCATTGAGCTACCTTATTTGTGGGTAGGTTCTTGCAGTGCCATTTGTTGGTGAGGTTCGTGCAACACCTCTTAGCCGTCGAGCCACCAAGTGTTTGTCGACACAATGGGGACTAGCGTGCCGGCAAGCACATGAACCTCGGGAGAAAAATTTTGTGTCTCTTGTGTGATTGGATTTCTTCCGGTGATTGGTTGTCGCCACATTGTGATTGGTTCATTCCATGACGCAGTAGTATAATCACCCTACTCACTCCTTTATATTTCTTGCAAACTAGTTGTCAAGCTCTTTAGTATAGTTAGTCTTTTGAGAGCTTCTTAGTTGGGTTAGTGTGGCTCTTTAGTTAGTCTTTGAGAGCACACTAGCTTAGTGACTAGTGACCGTAGCTTGTTGTGTGTGCCGGTGATCATAGCAACTAGAATTATTGGGATAGGTGGCTTGCAACCCTTGTAGAGCTAGAGCAAAATTACATTACGTCGTTTGTTGTACTAATCAATTGTTGTAGTGCCTCATAGAGATTTTAAATAGTCTATTCACCCCCTCTAGCCATATTAGGACCTTTCACTAGTGTGTGGTGCGTGGTGTGTGGCATGAGGGATGGAACGAGAGGGGCAGAGGGCGGGCAACTTTCTTTTTGCTAGGGTTTGTGACGATAGTGGTGGCGGCAGGTTGGTGAGCAGCACCGGCCATCGAGCGGCTAGGGGTCGGCGGCGGTTACCAGCAGCATGGGGCACGGCCGCACGGGCACGGCTGCATGCACGGGGAGCCTGCTGGGCGGTAGCTGCGGCCGAGCAGTAGTCTAGCCGCCGTGCTACACCGGTCGTAGCCAATAGCTAGCAAGCAGACCGGAGGCCATAACCACAGCCCACAAGGCGTAGGCAGGCACCAGGCAGCAAAAGAGTAGCCTAGAACGTATATTTTATTTCATTTTCCGTTCTTTAGATTTGATTTTTTACACATAATTAATTGTTCAAAATTTGATTAAGGATAAATTGCAGATTGTTCAAAATGTTCAAAAGAACATTGCACACATATTTTTGTAGTTCAAGTGGTACATCAATAACTCTTGGCACTAATGACAGCACAAGTAATCAACCAAAGATACCTACAGTGGAGTTTAGTCAATCCGATGTAGTTGGTGATCCTAGAAATCGCAAAACCAATTGAAGAATATGCACATGAAATTAGAGACCAAGTAAGAAGGCATATGCTTTGAGAGGTCCAACCCAACCTCGTAATCTTACCTTTGTTTCTAAATGGCAAAGTGGTCAATGGAGATCATTTCAATAAACTTGGTTTGACGAGTTTGATTGGCTTGAGTATAGTGAGTCAAGGATGCAGCTTATTGCTTATATTATTATCTTTTCTTTGATCCGAGAAATCCTGAAAAAATTAGTAGTTCTGTGTTTGCAATGAAAGGTTATAATAATTGGAAAAAGCTAAGGAAACTTTTAATCGTCACACTACTTGCAAGACTCACAATGATGCTAGGCTCAAGTGTGATGACTTTATGAACCAAAGAACAAATGTGGCTAGAAAAATTGATGCAATTAGCAAGGAGGAAGAGAAAAGATATGAGATTCGCTTGACATCTTTTTTAGATGTAGCAAGTTTTCTCATAATGCAAAGTGATGCTTCCTTGGACATGATGAGTCCTCTACTTCCAACAACAAGGGTACATTCAAAGAGATGGTTGATTGGTACAAAGATAAAGTTGAGATTATATTGTTAAGGATGCATATGATAAAGGTGCAAAAAATTGCACAATGATATCTCAACATTAATTCTTCTGGTGGCAACAACTTCAATTGAGAGGATATTTTCTGCTATGTCTATTGTAAAGACAGATTTGCATAACAAAATGGGTGATGAATGGCTTAATGACTTAATGATATGCTACACTGAGATATTTAGAAGCATCAAGAATGACAAAATCATAAAATGATTTGAAGACATGAAAACCCGCATATGTTAGTGCCTCGGAACAATTTAGTGGTATGATATATGTTCTCTTCTACCTTCAAAACTTTGAAGTTAAATACTTGAAATTTGTGTCACTAATTTATTTTTTCTTGTATATATATTGCTTCTAATGATTCATAAAGAATATGGCAGCGTGAATGTGTCGTCATCGATCGATCTTTTGTTGGTTAGTTATAAAAATTGTATCTTTTACTTCTTATGCGTTTTATGACGCACTTTCAATTGTATATCTAAATTGAGTTAAGTTGGCTACCTCTGTTTGGCCCAGCCCCCCTAAATATTATTCTGTGGATCTGTCACTGGTTGGTGCCATGCACGCACGGCGTGCCATATGGTATGGTTGCATGTGCAAGATGCGCAAGAAATTGTTTGACATGCATGGCGTGTGGATGCATGGATGACCGAGTTGCAACCTGCAACATAGTGGTCAGGTCAACAAGGTCTCTCTAGCTACACTCTGGTGGTGTTGTCCGATACGGACTACACGAGACCTAGCAGGGACGCGCGCCAGTGCAAACCAAACGTGTGTGTCATATGGATGGGATCGGCGTCGTCCAGATTTTGGAGACGTTCAGATCGACGTAGGCCGCCCAACAAACAGTCCATGCGCCGGCCGCGTGTGTCACCGGTGACGCCGGCCGTGAGGGGGTGGTGTTGTGACCGAGCTGCTCATCCGCCATGCATCCAGCAGTTTGCCACACACACCACCACACCAGCTCCATCTGTATTCATCCATCCATCTTCTCTGACAGTCCTATCTAATATTTTTTTTTTAGCAAAATCTGATGTGAACAGCTACAGCAGGACCACCTCCTCCAACACTGAAAATTAAGTGCCAAAAGAGAAGGCCCCATGCTTTCGCACCGGCCGAGGCTCACCGTATATATGGGCCAAGGCGTCACATGGCTGGATTGCGGCCCAAGTTGTGCAAAGAAGGACACCGAACATTCCTCTCATCTCTCAATCAAATAATGAATCAGAGGGGAAAACAGAACACAGAGAACGCTCCTAAATTACTTTATCATCAACCAAATAATGAACGACGGAAAACACATATTCATTCATAGGTATGTTTATGTCTACAGTGATTTTGTGAATTTTTAAGATCCGCCGATTTAATCTCTTATCGGAATAACTAGCGCCTAAACGTGTGGGTGCATCTCCAGAGCTCCGGTCACTCATCGCATCCACGCGCTCCCATCCCGTTCCCAACTAGTGCCAACGTCCGAAACCGCGCCCCTGCGCCCATCCCGCGCCCCGCACGGCAGAAACCGTGCCCCCTCGCCCATCCAGCGTTCGCACAGTGGAATCGCGCCCCACGCCCGCACGGCGAAAACCAGGACCCCCGCCCACTTGCCCCGCCTGTAGATGCGCGCTGCGGAGTTCTCTACAGGCCTCAGGCTCCGGCACGTGAACCACGGCGGCACACCAGCAACAACAAGCGGACGGCGGCATGCAACACCCGATCTACTTTTGAAACATCTAGAGGAGGCATTTGCAACATAAACATGAATTGAAAACAGATGAAACACTTGGAACACGCGCTTGAAACATGCGTATGTAGCCATTGCAACATGTGCAACCCCAAGATCTACTTTTGAAACATCCAGAAGAAACATTTACAACATAAGTTTGAAACAGATAAAACACTTGAAGCATGTATTTGAAACATGCGTGTGTAGCCTTGCAACATGTGCAACACCAAGATCTGTTTTTAAAATATCCAGATCAAATATTTGAAACAAACGTCTAAAACAACTGAAACACCTGAAACACTTGAAACACGACGTCGCCGGCAGCCATGGCTTACCTGGTGGGGAATTGCGGTACCCGTCAAACTTGGAGAATGAGGACGGCGACTGCAACCTCAACCGCAAGCGCTGCCTCGTGTCCTCGCACCACCACGGTCGAGACGCAGAGCTGGAGGCGGCGCCCACTACCAGGGACCAGGAGGGGGGGCATGGGGACTGAGCAGCAGTGGCTCGATGACGAGATAGAAGGTCTCCTTGCACCAGTACAGGCACCTTTATACAAAACAGCCTGAGGCCACATGTCCACATTACACAGGTCACTTCGACAATCCACCTCTGCTAGCCACCTTCTCCCGCACCGACCTGCTTGCCAACTTAACGGACACCATTGGCGCACAGTCCCACCAAACCATCACCCTCAACTGTCATGCAGAAGTCTTACCCTCTAATGCTATGCTAACACCTTCTACCTGAAAGCCTTCCGACACCATGAACATCCCTGCCTCCGAGTCCTCGACTTGGCCTCCACCCATCTTGACTCAATTCTGGCCTCTAGAGGGGCTGCCATCAGCAATGAAGAACCAATCGCTACCAATTCGTTCACCATCCTCGCGGAGCACTATCGCATCTCTACAACTTAGATTACCCGTATCTGTATCTTGTATTTAAGCTTTGAATGAAATTTACCATTTCAAAAAAAAAGACAGGTTGTAAGTTTGAAAAAACATATACTTATAGCTGTTCAAATAAATGCACAACCAAAACATATTTTATGAGAAATTTAATAAAAGTAATTTGATGTTTTAGATACTACAAGCTGACTTTTTTTAGTATAAAGCCAAAGTAAAGCACCCATATGTACAAACAAAGTAGAATACCCAACAAAGTATCGTGTAAAATAAAATTCAAAGAAATCTTTGCCTTTACCGGGCCTCCAAATCCTCGAGGAACCCCAGGAAAGCCGCATGCGACGGCCCTCCTTCCGCCAGCGCCTGGGCCGCTCGGTCCCTCGCCGCCGCCGCGCGCTCCCTGAGCGCCCGCGCGCCGTCGGACTCCTCCATCACCCACCTCACCTTGGCTTCCACCTCCTCGGCCTTCACCACGTCCTCATCCCCGACGCGGCTCTTCCTCACCTCCACCCCGAGCCGCATCTCCTCCACGGCGAACACCTTGTTGAGCCCCTGCTCCGCGTACAGTGGCCAGCACAGCAGCGGCAGGCCCGCCGTGACGCCTTCCAGCGTCGAGTTCCACCCGCAGTGCGTCACGAACGCGCCGGCCGCGCGGTGCTGCAACACGTCCACCTGCGGCGCCCAGGACTTGACGACGAGACCTCTGTCCCTGGTCCGCTCCAGGAACCCGTCCGGGAGGAGCACGTTGAGATCGACGTCGAGGTCGTCGGCCGGCTCTCCGGGGCCGCGTGGGCTCCGCACGACCCAGAGAAACCTCTGCCCAGAGCTCTCCAGCCCGACGGCCATCTCCTTAAGCTGGCTCTTTGGGAACGCACCCATGCTCCCGAAGCAGAGGAACACGACGCTGCGGTCCGGCTGCGCGTCCATCCACCGGAGGCATCCGTGGTTCATGTCTCCGCCGGGCGAGACCAGCGGCCCGACGCAGTAGACCGGAGGCATGTCGCGTCCGGGGACGCACAAGCCGTCCCTGAGCGCGCGCACGGCGCGCGGCTCCAGCGACTCGAAGGAATTCAGCAAGATCCCGCGAGCCTCCGGCATCCGGGAAGCCAGGCCGAGGCTGGCCTTGCACGCGGCGCCGTCGTCGCGGATCAGCTGGGGCAGCTCCGAGGCCTTGAGCGGAGGTACGCCCGCGAACGTCAGGACGGCGTCACTGAGCTCCCCGAATCCCGCCGCGCCCAGGGTTCCCCGCATGCCGGGGAGGGCGAGGCTGGACGCGCCCGTGGAGGAGAAGAAGTAGGCCGGCACGGCGAGCTCCGCCGCGACGTCGAGCGCGTGGGCCCAGAACGTGTCGAGCACGAGCGCGCAGCGGACGGAGCGGGAGCGGGACGAGGACGACGACGCCGAGAGCGAGCGGAGGAGGAAGTCGCGGAGCGGCGCGTTGGTGGCGCGGAGGAAGCCGAACATCTGGGCGATGTGGTCGTGGGCCTGCTCCTGCTCGCCGTCGGGGGCTGGTGGTAGCTTTGGGGAGGGGAGGACGTGGAAGTCCACGGACGTGTTGGCGGCCTTGGCGCGCGCCACCGTGTCGTCGAAGCTGGGGTCCCCGAACGGCGACTGGACGAGCACGACGACGACGTCGAGCGCGGCGCCACCGCCGTGGCGGAGGAGCAGCTTGGATAGCTCGAGCATCGGCGAGAGGTGGCCGACGCCGAAGCCCGGGTACAGGACCAGCGTCGTCGTCTTCTCCATCGCTGGACGAGGCGACAACGATTGCAAGTCCTGGCGAGTGGCGACTGGCGAGCTAGTGCGCTAGCCGATAGAGTCCTCCAAGTGATCATTATGCTTCTGAACGCTAGTGTACGCGTCATCTGATCTGACACAACAACTCTACGACAGTGGCCTCAGAAAAAAAAAACAACACTACGACAGCATGTGCTCAGCTTCTCTCTTTTTTCCGAGAGAATTTTACCTTCGTTGTCTCGTATAGAGCATCATTCTCACCTCAGGTCCAACATTTCAATTTTTATCAAATAAAATTAAAAAAATAATATTTATAATGTATAATTGATATCATTAAATGAATCGTTGACTATTTTTTATAATAAACCTATTTAGAAATATAAATGTTTCTAATAATTTTCAGAAATCTTATTAAATTTAAAAATTTTGATCAGCATAAACTCATAGCGACAATCTTTTTAGGAGCGAGGGAGTATTCTGCTAGCTCTATTCGGTTATTCCGTAGGGAAGTGCTGAGAGCTGGTAGGCTGGTAGTGTCTTAAAAAATATTTCAGTCGGTCTATCAGCAGTGGGCACTATTAAAGATGGCAGCGGGCGTGATGGCCGTGGATACTGCCTTCTTGTGCCCGCGCCCGTCAGCTAAATCTTTTGCCCGCGCCCGCGCCCGCGACCCACCACGGGCAACAAACCACGCCTGCGCCCTCCATCCGCGGGCATGAAATGCCTACCCGCCAGGTTGAGCATATACATAAACCATAGTGTATTACAAGAGATATGAAGATACATATTCACAACAAATCGTGTATATATACATATATTTGCCTGTAGGTCCCACATGTTAGACCTGTGGAGCGGGTCTGGCGGATAAGCGGGCGAGGATAGCAAATTTCTTTGCCCGCGAAGAACTATCCTCTGGGTTCAGGATGGTGCCCGCGCCCGTGCCCGCGGGCAAGAAGTGGTGCCCGTATCCTTGCCCATCGGGTTCCATGCCCATGGGCATGCGGGCATTCTGTGCCCGTTGCCATCTTTAGGCACTATCGTCAATTTACGACACGCTTCACACCTAATCATCCGGTGGGAATTTTTTTAATTTTAACACTTTTTAAAACTAATTTTAAATCTAACACTTTTTGTTTTTTTTAAACTAACACTTTTGGCCACGTCTATTATCATGGCGCGGCGAAATACCTATGCCGCGTCATGCATAGTGGCGCGGCAGGAGGGTGACGTGGCGAAGACCGGGGCCGCTGACCGGTGACGTGGCAGGGTCTGCCGCGCCACGGCGCATGGCGCGGCAGGGTCAGATAAATATTGCCCGCGAGTCGCCCCTGCCCCTTAGCCACCCACCCTGCCTCTGCCTGCCGCCCCTGCCCGAAGCGTCGCTGCCGCCGCGCCCGCAGCGCCTGCCGCCACCGTGCCTGCACGCCGACCACCGCGTCCACTCCGGCCGCGCCACGAACGCCGGCGCGTCACGGCCGCCGGCCGCCCAGCCGCTCATATCAAGGTAGGCTCTCTTGATTTCATGTTATTATGATTGTTATTTTATTTAGGGTTAGTGATTTAGGATAGTTAGGTTAGTGAATTTGTTAGGATTTGTTAGTGATTTAGGATAGTGATTTTAGAATTTGTTGGGATAGTGATTTAGAATTTGTTAGTGATTTAGGATAGTTAAGGTTTGGTTAGGTAGTTAGGGTTTAGGGATTGATTTTGGATTTAGGTTAAGTAGTTTTGGTTAGGTACTTAGGGTTCAGGTTACTGTTAGTTAGGATTTTGGGTTTAGGGATTGATTGTCGGTACTTAGTAGTGCGTGATACGATGATGGCACTTTCTTGGTTCTTTCCTCTTCCCAGACGTCTCGGGCAACACCATCAGCTAGATCTTCCTTGACATACTATGCCAGCCGTGGGAGAACATAGCGGCGTACAACTGGGGCAGCGCAGTCCTGACATGGACGTATCGACAGTTGTGCGTTGCCTGCCGTCGCACCTCAGGGTATGCGAACCTTGGGGGTTGCTCCTACCTACTCTAGGTTTGGTGTTGGGAACGATGGCCCATTGGGAGGCCCCTTAATACTGGTTTACCGGTAAGTACTTTGGTTCACTATATTCTTCAAGGCAATTACATATGATTCAATTATTAATGGCTATTTCATTATCGTTTTCAATGCAGCAATGGAACGGGCAGGATACACTCCCTACAGCTCTGTATATCTAGACAGAAGCAGAGTTAGTTAGAGGAAATGCGATGCGCAAGTACAAGGAGTACACAGACGGTCTCGACATCCCGACACAGCACCAGGTTACGCTCTCTTTACTATCATACATGTGTCTTGTTCGATGTACACTATCTCACAACCTAACTCAATTACGAAATGTTCAGGTGCATTGGTGTCCTTGGGATGCTCCGGAGCTCGAGTACTATCTGAGTCCTGTCACTAGGAACGAGTCAGACGAGTATCGCTGCAATGTCTCTCTTATTTTCTTTCACGTGGTCGAGATTCACTTGCCCATCAGAGTCTGCAGACAGTTTGGAAGAATGATAGGCTGCCCACCACCGCTTTACTCCACCAACCAAGGATTACACGGGTGCGTTATCGATTAATAACAAAGCTACAATTCAAAGGTGTGTGTAGTACAACTAACATCGTTTTGTTGCAGGTATGATCATAGGAAGAGGTACAAGACCAAGGATTGGCGCGTAACACACAATGCGCACATCCTTTTGTGGGAAACCAGGGAACGACAGCCGGTCCATGTGGGTCCTCCACACGACCAGCATACCTTCGACGAGTACCTACGGTGGCTTCACAGGTCTACGAGGACACATATCAAGCCCCTGTACACTGAGGATGCGATTGACGAGGACTCGGAGGAAGATGTGATCGAAGATGTGTACGACGTTGCCACTAGGGAGGACACACAGCTACAGAGAGCCCCGCTTCAAACATACGTGGTAAGATACTTGAATGGTACAATTTGTTATCCTTTTGGTATTAAGTATGTGTACTAAAACTGTCCAACCGCGTTTCTGTACCCAGGCGACACAATTGTCAAGGATGTCCAACGAAACAGCATTCCGGCTACACGAGTCTAGAGGGCAGGGTCCAGGCGTTCTTAAGGTTTTTGTGGAGGTAAACATAAACTTGTCCGTTCCAAAAATATTTCTTTAGTGTATATGTGTTTGGGAAATGCACTAACTTTAACGTCTATTTATGCAGAAGGTGAAGAAGAGCTACAGGAAGCTAGCTCAGAAGCTGAGCTGCATGGACACTCCTTATGTGGAACCGCCACTCCCGGCGCGGTCGGGTGGCACGTCTTCAGCCTCTTTGAGGACACCAGCCGGCTCTTCTCAGCCGGTAACAAGTGTCACTTCCGCAGTGCATACACCACTACATCATAGCGCTGGGAAGGACCCTGCAACCGAAGACGACGAGGACGACGATGACGATGATGACGACCCCCCGAGCTTCCACAGACAACACGACCAGTGGGAAGATTGGCCGTAGGACGAGATCGGCATGTCTCAGCTAGGTGGTGCCCCGCTTGATACCCAAGGAGCCTCACAGGTACTAAGAAAGGTAGTTTCTTTAAATACGTAGGCTCCATGAACTAACGATCATAAAGATTATAAGTAATCGTGCATATCATATACTTGCAGGGTACGAGCCATACGCACCGGCGACGCGACCACACCGACGTTGGCTACACTCCCAATCTGTTGTTGCCAACAAATTTGAAGAGACAGAGACGTCCGAGGGATCCTTACACTTTTGGGTCTTAGTTTGTTAGGTCAAAACAAATATTGGCGTCCGAAACTTGCAGGCTTAGTTGGTTATGTTATGTCGAACTTATGTCAAACCAATGAAAATTTTATGTGACAGCTTGTCAACTTGCGCACGGACTGCATTTATTTGCTTCATATTCATTTCAATGCGTCGCGGCAGCACTGCCGCGCGAGATTAAGTATCAACTAGTTCGGGAACCGGTAGTCCCGGCGTATCTCAACGGCGGTGGCCGACGTCTTGACCCCGATCCTCCCGAGCTTGGTCATCGCCGCCACGAAATCATCGAAGAAGGCACCCTGGTTAGACGCGCAGTAGTCGACCGTGCTGTGCGACCCCATGTCGGATTAGAGCACCTGGTCGGAACCCACCAGGAAGGGGACGAGGAAGCCGATCTTCTATCTGCGTCCAGGTCCTGCCACGCCATGTGCCATGGCGCGTCAGTGCCGCGCCAAGATCGGTGACGCGGCAGACCCTGCCACGTCACCGGTCAGCGGCCCCGGTCTTCGCCACGTCACCCTTCTGCCACGCCACCATGCATGGCGCGGCTCAGGCATTTCGCCGCGCCATGACAATAGGCGCAGCCAAAAGTGTTAGTTTAAAAAAAAAGTGTTAGATTTAAAATTAGTTTAAAAAGTGTTAAAATTAAAAAAAAATTCTCCGGTGGATGGTCCAATTTTAGTTTGGCGAGCATTCCCTCAGAGTGAACGTTTCTGCTGTCTGATGCTGGTAACAGGGTCATTTTTTTTTTTTTTTTTGGCTCTTTTTTTTAAATATATTCATAAATACACCTTAGGAGGTATCCTTTCAAAATATAGACCCTGAGCCTGGCGCCAAGATCTACAGTGTCAAACTTAGCGTCAAGATCCACGGCGCTCAGCTCATGCCACATCAACGACACGCAGAAAATGACCCTGGACCTCAGCGCCAGAGCAATTGGCGCCGAGACATGTAACCTCAGCGCCAATTGCTATGGCGCTAAGTCCAGGGTCTATATTTTGAAAAGATACCTTCGAGGTGTATTTATGAATATCTTTCAAAAAAAAGGACAACAAATAAAAAATTCGGTCGGTAACAATGTGACACATGGTGGACCCACACGTGAAGTTGGCATAGGCGGCGTTGTTCTTGTTCTTCTTTTTCTCGGCGCCTCTTTCTCTTTCCGGAGCTTCATTTTTTTCCTTTGTTTTCTTTTTTTCTTTTGATAAAGACAATCAAAACGAGTGTC